TGGTGTTTTTTGGTGTTTAACATCGGTCGGTTTTCGTAAAATACATGGGGTATCGAGTATCAATTAAACATAAATAATGTTAACAAAGATTTCAAACTCTGTATAGGTATAAAGTGGAAATATATATTAGAACAAACTTTTCAAATATCCATAGCCAATCTGACGTGTGTTTTGTGAATTTTTTAACTAACAATTCCATATCTCCGTAAAATGTGCTCAGTTGTTGTATTTAATAAGTTTTGGATGTTTGAAGGCATCCCGGAAGACATTTCTGTTGTTCCATCTGTTGAAGAACCAAGTAAAAACAAAGAAACATGTTAAAATTCGCACGACACGTGCTGTTACGTCATGAAGTATCCAAATTACCAAAATTAAGGATCGGTAAGCATTTTAATTTAACTAATTACAAAATATAACTGAGTGGATTATGTTATAAACATCAAGTTTAGCAGGATAGGTTTGAGAGGTTCCTTATCTATAAAATATACGTAGCTAACGGATTATAAGGGAAGATAATCTTATTAGTACATATGGATAATGGACGGATAACAAAAAGTGCCACTTTTTGATAATGATCTTTGAAATCGTTCCATTATTCTTTTCATCTTTTATCAAGGATAATCTTACATAAATTAATTTACAAACGAGGGGATTAGTGACTGTAATTGACATCTATTGTAATAGTCCCACTTAAGATAAAATGATAATTTTATTAAATATAATAATCCTATTGTATTTCATACATTTGGAGATTATAACAGTTTTCAGCTGCTTGCCTGTTTTCACTCAGGACGTAAAATAAAACAAGACGATTAAAATAATGAAATGTTTTTGAGAACTGTGTACGTAGTTTGTTTACAAAATTTGATTATTGGTCTATCTAAACGTCGTTTTGATACCAACATAGGATTCTGAATAAGTAAGTAAGCTCGTTGCCACGGGATATAATAGTGCTTCTTTCAGTGACAATTATACCTCATCCATATTTTACATGCAAGATAGAACAAAGTTAAATTATAAAATTACTCTGTTTGTCAAATATGTAAACACAGTCTCGAAGAAAAAAGTTGTAAAACTTTGAATATTTAGTTCTGTAGCTTGTACGGCCCGTGTACTAAATTTTGTCCCATAGTTTTTAAAGCCACGATTCTTTCTCTGTTTGTGGGGGGGTGGGGGGTACAATGTTTATACACCAAGCGATGAAAATGAAGAAGGGTAATTACCAATAACCATATTTTCAGGTGAGGGTGCAAATAAAAAAAATCACTATCGTGTCTAGTGTGTAAAATGTGGTCTTGTCGGTGTATTGGGTTGATTTTACCGTTTAAGCATATTTGAAAATTGTGTGAACATCAATATTTTTCTCCGATTTTTTAACCAGACGTTTTTCACAGTAACCGTTCAAACTGTAAAATACCCACCATGATTAACCCTTTAATTAGCTTCCCTAAAGGGTATTGACAGAATTTGTGAAAAACATGAATTTTAATTAACCGCTGTTTATCAAACCCCTGTTGTTTTACGTTATTTATTTGCCTATTTTGCGTGTCAGAACATGTCATCATATATGCTTTGGCAAGAACACCACTAATTCGTTTAAATATGAGTACTCTAAAGTGCAATGTAAGTAGCCACTATTTTCTTATACTTGTCAAGACATTAATAAGCCTCTAATCCAGGAATAACAAAAATTTTCAGAAATTCAGTTTATGTAGTATTGAAACTAAATAATCAGACAAAGAAAAACTGTGGATCATATCTTTTAATATGATAGTTTATGTGCTAAGCTGCACTGAATCAAAGACGTATTTTTATTTATTTTTAATTTATTTTGCAATTTGCTTGGAACTTGCACTGTTATTGCAATTGAGCGCGGAACTAACTGCGAAGATGAGGGAGGAGTGTATGTAATTGTTTATCGGCATGAGTATTCGCTTCCTATATATATATATATATATATAAACGTTATTGGTTTTGCTCATTGGTGAAGGATATACGGTAACATGTACTTCACATCTTTATTCTTTGGTCTTTGTGGATAGTTGTCTTTTTGGCAATCTCCCTATTTTCAGATAAATCATTAGCTCTTTATATGTAGTCTGTTGTTAACTACACTTCGGACCCGGTCACCCTATTTTTGTAGTGACAGTAAACATCGTTCCCCTTTTCCTGTATGCATTTTACAGGGTGCGGATTGCAAAAATGGCAATTGGACGTAAACTATCAGTTATCAGTTAATTAATGTTTGATAGAATTAAATGTTCACACACTTTGATTTGGTCTGAAGATTAGTTGGTGACTTCCTTAACATCCAATTGCAAATACTACACTATTAACAAGGACTATCATATATAAGTACTAGTGTGACTATGCTATTATCATGGAGTGCTTTGTGCTAGACTGACTTTTTAACGCATTAGATCACTACATAACAGTCTGCAGAAAGATTTCTCATCCTATCCGGATACGTTGTTCCAAAACGGCGACAACCCATGAGGGTCTTACACGGTCGGCAAAACGAGACGAACAGGTATAGCTTTTATTCCTAAATGCTCGTGTAAAATCTCCTTTTATTCATATTAAGAACAAACAGCAAACAACCTCTGTAAAAGAACTCAAGGCGAGTGGGTCACTTTGAGAATGCTCAGTGAGGCGGTTCTGGCATTGAGAAGTATTTAAGAGACCACTGGTGCGGTTGGGGCGATAAAATACACAAGACACTACCGGGGCGGGGAGGCGATAAAAATACTTATGAGACCACCGGGACGGGAGAGGCGATTAAAATACTTATGAGACCATCGGGACGGGAGAGGCGATAAAAATAATTATGAGACCATCGGGACGGGGGAAGCGATAAAAATTCTTATGAGACCACCGGGACGGAGGAAGCGATAAAATACGACATGGTTGGGGTGTTTAGAAATACGACACGTAGATTTTTTACAGGGATACAAATTTGTTGTTAGATTCGGAGTACAATCGCTTAACATTCTTGAGAGTTGCACTGCTTACCCTTCCGGAGTACCTGAGTTAATTCCGCTTATTTTTCTTTTGTTTTTCTGGTAGGGGTCGTGTTGTCCAATCTTTAGTTTTATAAGTAGTGTTTTGTGGACTATTGATAGTCTGTTTGCCTTTTTCTTTCTTTAACGAGAATGTTTTTTCGTCTGATGGTTATTGGTTGTCCCCTTTTTGGTATATCTTGTCCCTTTGTCAGCATTGCATTTTTTTTAACATACATATGTTATTTAGATTGTAAATACGACTAACGGAGACAAAATCAATGACAGCTAATAAGATCTTGTCATAAAATTGCAGAGTCATGTCCATATACAAGAAACACGAATTATACAAATTATTGGACAGGTTATTCAACCAATGTTTATCACGATTAATGTAAAAGCTATGTCATTACTGCAAAAAAGAATTATTATTTAGCCTGTCAAAAGTTTTTTTGGTTGTTTTTCGGGTGTCAATTTCTGAAAAGGACACTGTGATCGATTTCTTAAGGGCAGGGCTGTGATACTTACCAGTGGTATTTACTGAGAACGGACATTAATCATTTACTGGTGTCAAAATTACCAGTCTATGAACAGTCATTTATAAGACATACGTTCTTATGTAAGAAATAATTATAGGGGGATTCTAGTTTACTGTGTTACAGAAATATTATGTATTTTTATGGGAAGCGGATTGATCCGTGATGTGTAATTTTCTCAGTGTGATTTGGTCATTCTGTTCGGAATGTTTCAAATTTAATTAATAGATTTTTATCGCCGTAATTAGACTTTGTTGTTCACATTTCCCTGTCATAATGAACGCATAGAAATGTCGCTAAATTCTTACCCACTTGAAAAATCTGCGATTTTGTCAAACAATAAAAGGGATTTCCACACAGTTGAATTTAATAAAGATATCCTGCAGCGTGCCGTCTAGAGAACACTAATTGTTTTGTTCAAATTTTGTCCAATTAGAGTAAAAAAATAAAATCCTTCTGTCCACGAGAAAAAAAATCAGCGGTCACGTATAGACAGTAGCTATGGGAAATCTGCTCATTAGTTTCAAATATTTAACCTTTCACCACGCCATAAAATCACACGCATATTCATATTTACACTTGTCTTATAAATTTATTTTATTGTTTTTATTTCTAATAATTAATTTGGTTACATTCATTGCACAGATGTGTCTTAATTTCATTTATTTGGAGCAGACACATATAATACAATTTTATTACATGTCTCTCTTAGGAGAGAGAAAAAGTGTTGAATTGAAAATTAGACAGAATGAAATAATATTTACAAGATGCAAGCAGTGACTATTGTGCAAACGATAGAGAACAAAAGCATAAGAAAAACCAAGTTTAGCTTTATATAATCTTTAAGGTTCATAACCAGAAGAAAATTGTGAATCAATTCTATTAATTTATATGTGCAAATTCGTCCACATTTGTCTGTTTCAATCAATCTCTTATAACACATTTTGGCATATAATTTTATATAAAGTCTTGGAGTCCTGTAAAAATAATTATGATGTTTAAAATTATTAACATTTTTTTAATTACTATTTGTGCACAGAGTGGTTTCATTGGTCACAATTACGATCCAGTAAAACAAAAGAGTTATCAGATAATACCTCAAGTTATAGAAAAAAAAAAATTATTTTGAATATGTTGCACGTTAAAGTATGTTAAAACGGTATCAGAATTAAAATACGAAAACGCATAATACACGTTGCTCGTTTATTTAATAAAGATAATAAATAGTTAAATGATTTTGTTTTTTTTTAATATTTATTTCATCATATAATTTGAATATGCATTGTATGTAAATTATCATGATACAGGCCCATAATTAGTTATGTAAATTAGTAGTAAGCTACTAGTTTTAAACCTTTTTAAGCTTTTATTACAATTTTACAAGTTTATAACTACTATCAACTTTGCCTCATTAAAGAAACTGTTTTATTTTATTATATTATTAACTTGTTATTTATTTTCACAGGTAATATGATCTACGACTTTATCATTGACAAAGATTGACGAAAAAATAACCAAAGGGCTTTTGATAGAAATCTTTCGTTTATTCATAATCCAGTGGGCGGAGTTTGTATTGAATGACACTTGTTCAACACGCATATCCGATTGGACAATTTTGTTGTGATTGACATACTTCGTGTCAACTTATGTTGAAAATAATTCATATTTCTACCGACTATAAACCAAAGATTAAGCGATAAAGTCATCAAATCTTGATTGCGATATGACATGCTTGGAAGGACTTGTTTAGAACAAATTGAAGTTTTGACATAAGCTATTAAGGTGGTATTTAAAAAAACAGAACCAAACCTCGCCTTGGGATTTAAAATTGAAATAACCGAACAACAATATATACAGAATTTAAACACTTTATGTTTTCGATTTAAATGCATCTTAGTGTACCGAGCTGTTTGGACTTAATTCTCATGGAACATTTTAATATATAAGAGGATTTTGTTTACGGCGTTTCAAATAAACTGAAAAGAATTAGAACTCAACTCAACGGAAAACTTCCACAACGAATTAAAAGTGTATGTATGGATTTTTCATAACAATTTTTCGGTGTAATAATATTTTTTATTTTCTTAAATGAATATTAATATTCAAATGTCAGCTGTAAACTGATTGACTCGTGTAATGAACATGGAGAAAAACAGCGTCCTGAGGCCACCCAGTAGTTTTTGTGTATTTCTATGTGTACTATTTATATTTTGGATTAATTTTGTGACATCTAGTGGAATTGACGATGAACGAAAATGTCAAGAAATAACTATTCCAATGTGCAAAGGGATCGGATATAATCTAACTCACTTTCCGAATCAGTTCAACCACGAAACACAAGAAGAAGCCGGATTAGAGGTCCACCAGTTTTGGCCCCTGGTAGAGATACAATGTTCACCCGATTTAAAGCTGTTTCTGTGTAGCATGTATGCCCCTCTATGCATCCCAAACTACAAGAAGCCGTTACCAGCATGTCGGTCTGTATGCGAGCGGGCGAAGGCAGGATGTGCACCACTTATGGCTCAGTACGGATTCGCATGGCCTGAAAGAATGAACTGCGATAAGCTCCCAGTATATGGTGAAAAAGATCAACTTTGTATGGATGTTAACCAAACCGATCGTTCGACTCCCCTCCCTCCGCGTACGCAGCAACCATTCCGCCCGGGTCAAGGAGGAAAACGCCCCGGCTCTAAAGTGAATCCAGGAATAAAACAGAATCTTAACAAAAATACAGAAACTTCTGATCCAGAATTTCCAAATTTTGGAATAGATCATTTAAATATTCCTAGACTTCCAAATCAATGTAAAAAGAAATGTGGATGTAACATGGTTCAATTGGACGATTCAAGTGAACTGTATGGCAAAGTTAAAACAGGAGGGTTTCCGAACTGCGCTATGAACTGTACGAGTCCGTACTTAACACCCGATGAAGTTACGTTCACGACGTTCTGGATTGGCTTATGGTCCGTTTTATGCTGCGTGTCAACTGCCATGACGATTCTAACCTTTTGTGTTGACATGCAGCGCTTTAAATATCCCGAACGGCCGATTATATTCCTCAGCGCTTGTTATTTTATGGTCAGCATCGGCTATATTATACGCATGGCGGTAGGACATTCTGCTGTTGCCTGTGACGGCAAAATGATTCGATACGAAACCACTGGACCGGCATTGTGTACTGTTGTGTTTCTACTGCTATATTTCTTTGGAATGGCGTCATCAATATGGTGGGTAATTCTTTCTTTAACTTGGTTCTTGTCAGCGGGATTAAAATGGGGACAAGAAGCTATTGCCAGCTACTCTCAATATTTTCATCTTGCCGCCTGGCTCATTCCATCAATAAAGTCGATTGTCGTTCTTGCGATGTCGTCTGTTGATGGCGATCCTGTCGCCGGAATTTGTTACGTTGGTAACCAGAGTGTAGACAATTTGAGGGCATTTGTTCTAGCCCCTCTTTTCGTTTATCTTATTTTAGGGACTTCATTCCTATTGGCAGGATTTGTTTCCTTGTTTCGAATTAGGAGTGTAATAAAAAGACAAGGACAGGGTAAAATTGACAAATTAGAACGCCTCATGATCAGGATTGGCGTTTTTACCGTGTTATACACTGTTCCCGCTACAATTGTAATTGCGTGCTACTTTTACGAACAACATTTGAAAGACAAATGGGAGAAATCATTAAACTGTTCGTGTCAATTCGGTGAATACTCACCAGACTATTCAGTATTCATGTTAAAATACTTTATGTGCTTAGTTGTCGGAATCACTTCCGGTTTCTGGATATGGACTGGAAAGACAGTGGATTCGTGGAAGAAATTCTTTGGAAAATACTTTTGTTGTAAAAAAGCAGACGATAGTTTTCATTCAAGACATACGAAACTGTCAAATCAGTCGTATCCTGGAGTTAAACCGCATCCATTAAGTCAGGTTTAATTTCGTTAGCATATTTTATTGAAAATTATAATAGTTCTGAGATAAATTATCTCCAAGACCTTACATCAGCTGCAGTTTAAGAGCGCCAGTATATCGGGTGCTTCTTCTTTCAGATAGAACTAACCCATACAGAAAATGTTCAGAAACTGAAACAAATTTGTAGAGGACAGTTCTTGAGACCTTTTGGTATTAGGCTGGATCGTCATGTGTTATTATTTACATTGTACATTATTTTGTGAATTTACGTTGCTATTTATTTTTAGACAATTTTCAGGAGAAAGTTAATTCGATTTTTTACATATTACAAACTACTTTTTTATACGAAAGTTTGCGTTTTTCTAATTTCCCCTTTGTTTATGTTTAAATGAAAAATAACCAATATTGAATTCAATGTTATCCTTTTGTAAATTAATTACAAAACGGATGTTTGCACGTCATGTTTGCAAAAAGATTTTAAGAGGTCAAATAGACCACTATTGGACTTTGGTTTGTTAATTAAATACTGGACTACAAACGTTGACTTTCATTATAAACAGTGACCAAAGAATCTTTAAACATTTCATTCTGTCGAAAAATTTGATATTTATGGAGTTCTTATTGATTATTTTTTTAATTATTGTTCATAATTAATTCGTATATAATACTCAAAACTTGAAGGTAAATTTACAAATACTCCATTTTCACTGATAAAATACTTAGTGAAATTAATTTTACTTCAATTATGTGCAGAAAAAAATAGAAAGCACAAAAGATCATGGATGTTTGGTAAGGGAAATTAAATGGCCAAAGATGATTTTGCTAGGAAAACATAAGTTAAGATAACATTACACATGCACCTATTTGTGAATTAAACGGATAAAGAAGTATTCCATTAATTAACATTAACTACTGTAATGTTTGCTACTGAACAACAAATCACTTTAGCCCATGTAATTTACTTCTATGGTGCTGTTCATTTAGCATTTAGAAATATACATACATACATTTATAAGTATTATGGATATAACATGTAATATATATTGGCATGTTTTGTTTTGTAGTTTCATTAACGTTTCATAAATTTACATACATTTTGTAAGTTATTAGGAAGGAGGCTTACAGTAATTTATAATGACATTGTATAATTATCTAGTTTCCTGGGATTTATTTTATTTATTATTTATTCTTTTTTTATTGGGGGGGGGGGGGGGGGGGGGGGTATATAAGAAATTTAGACAAAATTTCGTTCATTTGGTTTCGTGTTTTTAAATATTTGTGGTAAGATCTGTTATGTCATCTTTTCAAATAATACAATACAATTTAAAAAATGAAAGAAAACGATTTATGAACTCAGAAAAACTTTGACCCCATCTGCACTGAGTGCACATGTGTCAGTGATGTAAAATTCTATCTCCTTTTTTAATTGATAGTTCTAATTGTGATCGAAAATATCAGAAAATTACACAAAAAACCTTTTGTCCTCTTCAAAATGAATTAAACTTTAAATATTTACATAACCAAATGTAGGAGTTTTTTAGCTGAAAAGATATATTTAATCAATTCACCGTGGCATGGCGAGGCTAGTATTAAAATTGGATAAATTCACACAGAATTAATTATTAGGAACCAGAGAAACTGACATTTTTTTGTTGAGTTTTATCGATGGGCGATTTATGTTAGCAAATGGATTATATTGTTGGGTATTGGAAAGTTTTTTGCACTGAAATGCATTTCGATTTTTATTCAGAAAGGCAGTGACTACAATTTAACTATGGGTCAATGAGATGAACAAATCAATGTGTATGTCAGAAGAATGTATTTTTTTTTTTTAAATATACAGGTTTATCAAAATTACATTATATACATGTATGTAACCTTATTCATTAAAAAGATAAAATCAGTTAAATTATGAGTGAAACCTCCATATATTCATACTGTAGTTTGCAATTGTCATAGCTGTTTGAATGTTACACGTAAACCATGGTAGATTATATATTCTATATTACTTTCATGGTTAAAATAAAAAGAAACTGTCATGAATGTGCATGAACTATTTGTCACTGAACGCTAAGAAAACAAAATATCTGTATCTTACACCAATAGAAGAGCAGTACCTTTATTATCCTGAACCTTTAAACTTTTTTGTTGAAAAATATTAAATTAGAATTATTTTTTTTAAATGAGTTTCTGTTATTTAATAGAGCGAACAAGGGAAAATCCCAAACTCGGGGAAACAATACCGATTTTATGCATTTTTTTGTCATTAGCTGTGTAATTTATACGTTCACACATATCAGATATAGGTTTTCCTAACAACGATTTACAAACAATGTGATAGAATATACAAAGGTTTATTTTTCTGGAAATTTGTATTTTTCATGAATCATTGTTTAATTCTTGAAGCAAAAACCAAAGATTTCATAAAGAAAAAAATGTATTTTTAATCATTACTTTTTGTTTATTAACCCTATTGTAAATGGGAAGTTTGTATGTGTATTTAAAGGACAAATACATTTATTTTCAAAAGTAGTACATGTAGCAAGGAGCTTCTTTTAAAAGAGGGACAATTTAACATAAATTATCATTAAATTTTATCAAAATTTTCAGAACTTTTACACTTTTTTTTTCAAAGAGACTTTTACATTTGTCTTTTAGTAGTTATTCAGAGTGGGATAAATGTATTTGTATTGCATGCATGTAAAATATGACATGTTTTATTATATTTTCCATAAAATCAGAAGGAACTGTTTATCTACGTTTTTTGTTGTTGAGCAGTGGTACTTATATAATTACATGTATATATAAACTTTACCAATACTAGAACAAAAATAGTTAAACTGGGTTCTATTTTGTGGTGATAATTTGTATATAATATTATACACGTAAAGAAAGTGATGTATTTTCTGTTATTTTCGTTGACAATCAAAGATTTTTGTTTGTTATCCAATGGTGCTACAAGAAAAATATTGCATGTACATTTCATATGCCATAATTGTTTATGAAATGTGATCTTTTGTCTGAACTCATTTAACCCTCCAATGTATCCTTGTTGAACTTAAACTGTTTTAAATAGAATTGACCTTTCCTTATTCTCTGTTTGTTCCTTTATACAAATAAATGTGATTTTCGTGCTTAACTTTTAAATTACAATTATTTATTTGATAAGTTAGATAAACGTTTTTTTTTTAAGTAAACTCTGATATACTTTATACAAATCATATTATATTTTGCTTCTTAATTTTGAGCGAAACCTCGGTCAGCTGAAAAAATGGGGATTGACAATTATATAAGTTTTTTTTTATTTAAGTTAGGATGGAACTCTCCCTTTTCAAAACGGGCCCCATAAAGAACATTTTTACACCATCTCTGGATCCGGTCCTGCCTTTCCAGACCGAGCATGAATATAAATAGAAATTTATGTATTTATGATCAAAGTTAAAGTTATCGTAAGAGGTATTAGAGAACCTATAAGCAGATTGTTATTATTTCTTTGTTTTAATACAGCTTAAGATTAAAACCGTGTAACTTTTAGCAGTTATTATGATTTATCAGAGTGGGATAACATGTATTTATATTACATGTACAGACAGGAAAACACTAAGTGATTGATAATTGCAGACCTTTGAAGTGACCGGACACCAGCTTTCATAAAAGTCAAAAACCTTTTTCTGGTCGGATTTTTATCAAACATGTATTTTTTCTCTCCGGAAATTTTGTTTTTTCAAGATTATAATGTAAAAAACAAATTTTCTAGATGATTAATCTTATTACAAGCAACATGAAAAACATTTTTTTTTTCATTTTTAAAGTTCTTTTTCCACTGTTGATTGACAATTGAATCTAGATTTTTGTACACAAATCAATAGGGGTTAGATTTAACTCAATTGGCAATTAATTCTTGGGAATTTTTCAGACAAAAGATCATATGATATTATTATGTAAAATTATTTTGTTTTGTATATATTATTGTTTTTTCGTGTATACACTATAGTTTTGTCATGTATACACAATAGATTTTGTGCATGTTTTGTTTTGTGTACAAAAGACAGAATCTATAATTTGCTTTTCTCCCGAGTTTAAGAAACGGGTCTGTAAATGTTTATTATTTATGTATACTGACAGCAAAGTCAGAATTATGAGAAAAATACAAAAATCAAACCATTATTTATTTGTTTTTGTTATACAGAAATGAAAAAAAAGTATATTTGAATAAAAGTAGGTGTAGTGATACGTCAATGAGACATCACTGCAAAAGAGAGGCGAAAGTTCCCGATGGGAGATTCAAACTCATAAGTTGAAAATAAACTGACAACGCCATAATGAAAAAAGAGAAAGACAAAAAGACAAACAACAGTATACAAAACACAACATAGAAAAACTAAAGACTGAGCAACACGAACTCCATTAAAGTAAAGTAAACCAAAAATACTTCAACAGTAAGGTTGTCAACGAAAGACAAGTGTCTTTACCATTTGCCAATATTTAAATCGCACCACGTCTGTACAAAATAAAAATAAGGATATGTGGTATGATTATCAATGAGTCAACTATTCACCACGCAAAGCACAATAAATTAGGATCATTCTTCAACAATGCACCTTTAGTAAGCTATAACAGTGCCTGCTTGACAAAATGTGAAAAATATCCAAAAGATAAAACCAACGACCTAATTTATGCTTCAACAATAAACGAAAAACAAATATGGCAAACAGCAACCATCGACTACCACCGAATAACAGGCTCCTGACATGGGACAGACACATAAAGAATGTGGCTGAGTTAAACATGTTTGTGAGGGCTCAACCGTCCCCTGTGCTGGGACAGGGATGTAGCAGCACATCATAAGAAATCACTGAAAAATCAGTTGTAAAGAGCATGACTCGTCAGATTTTTTGATTAAACAAAGTCTACAACATATCTGATATTAAACCAACGTACAAATCACCAAGACATAAACAAAGACAATATCTTACGAGGTCACAATAACTTGACGCGAGGTTTAGCAGGTCTCATTGATGTAAACCCATAATTCCTTTTAAGCTCGCCTGGCCAAAGGGTTTTTGAACTGTTTAGGCCACGTGGCGTTCGTCGTTGTATTTCGGTTTAACATTTCACATTTTAAGAACTGATTGACTTAAACCGAACATTGCAGAAATATTCCTTACCCGTATTTACATGTTTATGCCGATTGGTTAACACACATGGTGGTCTTTACTTATTCTCAAATTTATTCCGACATAAACGAAAAAACTTACGGTCTGATTTATGTATAAGATATACAACAACAAACGACAACCACTGAATTACAGGCTGCTCATCTATTATTTAAAAAAAAAGTTGCACTAAAACCTAAAGTAATTAGATACTTATTTATTGTTTAAAACAAATATAGTGAAATCAAATTGAACCGAAAAATTCATCAGAAGGTATTAACTTTAGTTGTTTCTTTCGTTTTACAAGGCTCAAGCAGGCCAACATTTTAGGATGAATACTAGCGATTCATGCTCATGTGAGCCTGTAGTTATATCTGAAAGATAAACGAATTCCTTTTGGCATTTGATATTTCATTTCAACGCAATTCTTCAAAAGCCACTATCAATACAGAGCACTAGAACTTTTCGTTTATATCCCATACTTATACGGGAAGTTATTTTGAAGTCATTTTAGTAATGAATTGTTGCAGTATTTTGCATTTTAATTATAAATCCGGAGATAATACTGTAGATGTAACCATGGTAACAAAGAAAACCATCCCAACATAACAATGTAAAAGCAGACCATAGGGAAAATGAGATATGGCCCTCAGCACTGAGACGAACAAAGAGAAGTAGGGGTATACGCTAACGAGACAGCAAGGTTACGACACACAATAAAAAAAACTGTCTACAGGTCACAATAAGGACTTAAACAATAGACAAGTGTCTATATAAAAATGTCAATCACTCAATCGTTCAGAGTCAAGAAAGGTTGAGAAAAAAATGAAACAGAAACTGTCAAAGATCTCTGTCATCAACCCAAATTATGTAAATGACAAATGAGATCCATAAAACTAATACAATTATTGGTGCGGATCCAGATCTCAAACCTCTCAGTTATAACCTCAATTATAGAAATAACAAAATGTATATTTTACTGCAACATAGAAAATAGATAAATAAAGAAGAAAAAACAAATAGATTAATAAACATTAACCGAAAGCAAACTGAAAGAAGTTAGATAATTACTTATCATGTGCAGAACGTTGATACGACTTCTTTTGGCAGTTTGCAGGGTGCTGATTAGGCTTTATTTGACAGTTTACAGGACGTTGATAAGGCTTCTTTTGACAGTGTAAAAAATGTTGATAAGGTTTCTTGGACAGTGAGTAGGACGTTGAAAAGGTTTCTTGGACAGTGAGTAGGACGTTGATAAGGCTTCTTTTGACAGTGAACAGGACGTTGATCAGGCTTCCTTTGACAGCTTTGACAGCTTGCAGGACGTTTATAAGGCTTTCTTTGGCAGTTCACAGGACGTTAATAAGGTTTCCTTTGACAGTTTGAAGGATGTTGATAGGACTTCCAGTAACATTGTGGAGAATGTTGATAAAGTTTCCTTGGACAGTGAGTAGGACGTTGATAAGGATTTATTTGACAGTTTGCAGGACGTTGATAAGGTTTCCTTTGACAGTTTGAAAGATGTTGATTAGGCTTCATTTTACAGTTTACAGGACGATGATAACTTTCCTTTGACAGTTTGCAGGACGTTCATAAGGCTACATTTGACAGTTTACAAGAGTTGATAAGGCTTCCTTTGCAGGACGTTGTTAAGGCTTACTTTGAAACTGTGCTGGACGTTGATAAGGCTTCTTTTGGTAGTAAACAGGACGATGATAACTTTCCTTTGACAGTTTGCAGGACGTTCATAAGGCTACATTTGACAGTTTACAAGAGTTGATAAGGCTTCCTTTGAAAGTTTGCAGGACGTTGTTAAGGCTTACTTTGAAACTGTGCTGGACGTTGATAAGGCTTCTTTTGGCAGTAAACAGGACGTTGATAAGGCTTTCTTTGACTGCTTTGACAGTTTGCAGGACTTTTATAAGGTTTCCTTTGACAGTGTGCAGGGCGATGATAAGGATTCATTTGACAGTTTGCAGGCTTTTGATGAGGCTTCCTTTGACGGTGAAGATGATTAAGCTTCCTTTGACAGTTTACAGGACGTTAATAAGGCTTCCTATGACATTTTGCAAGATGTTGATAAGGTGGTTTCCGGGTGCTAAGTCAAATACTGCACAAGGAATTGAAACTATACTTGGGTATATGGTCACAAATAATAAGAGGAAGATTTTTTTTTGGTTTTGAGATCACTGCATTCAAAGTCAAGGGCATTATGTATTACCATATTTGAGACCCAAATAATGCCAATGCTAAATAAAAGGTAAAAGTTCGAGTCAGCCTTTCCCCGTCCATTTAAAAAAAAAATAAATATCTCGAAAAGGAGTTCCATAATATTTTTAGCTTATTTTGTTCCTTAACAAAATTAATGCTCTTCAGATTTATATTACCAATTTAACATTCCATATGTTTAACATTTTACCTGACTGCATCCGTAAAGTCCGTAAAACATACGATATGATCTGTTGTAAATTGGTTAACTTTAAATAATATTATATGCGCAGTGTGAAATTTCAACATGCATTTGACAGACAGCTTGGTATAATAGGTTTTTACCAAAAATATAAGACCACACCCACCACCATCATCCGACTCCTTAACAAATGCATATACATGTACAAAGGCATACAACCACGAAACAACGCACGACCCAGATAGCCTAACCTGGTACAGGTACACCTTCATAGCAACAGTCATATTGTCAGGCAAATCGAATAGAGTACTAGTGTACTAAAAATGTTGATAATAACATGAACTTCTAGTTGTGTTAAGGTCACTCTCAGGGGAATCCAATTTTTAAAAGGTGTTACTATCCATCGAGTCGAATCAAAGTTCAACTTAGAATTTGAGTTCTTACGCTTGCCGTTTCTCTATTTTTTAGCTACTCTCCATTTCGTTTTGACTGTCAACTTGATATAACTGTCTTTATTTGTACATCTGTTTTTCTCATGTGAAATCATAGCATTTTTTTCAATTATTTTATCAAATATCAAAGGGCAAAGAAAAGTGAAGACATCCGAGAGTTACCGCTAACGCGCTAACGAGGAGCAGCGTGGAGACAGTTTCCATTAAAAGAGAAAAAAACTTTACCCAACTGTTTCCTTTGAAAGAGGGAGACACACAGAAATACTATCAGACAGTTATCTTTGAAGGAGAGAAGCATATTGAAAGCTACCCGAGTTACCATTTAAAGAGAGAAGCGTAGTGAGACTACATGACAGTGATTATTGAAACAGAGCAACGTAGTGAAACTATCCGACTGTTACCATTTTTAGAGAGAAGTGGTAACAGTTGAGAAATTACCCGACAGTTACCATTGAAAGAACGATGCATAGAGAAGCTATCCGATAGTTACCATTGAAAGAGCGATGCATAGAGAAGCTATCCGATAGTTACCATTGAAAGAACGATGCATAGAGAAGCTATCCGATAGTTACCATCGAAAGAGAGATACACAGAGAAAGTATGTAGGGAGAGGACGTCACTAATGTTGTCATAACTTGAACGTGTCCAATCCCTTTTGCTACTTTTGTAAATAAAAATATGTTTAAACAAGAGAAACTACATGTACACGACAGTAATCATTGACACCGAGAAGCTTAGTAAAAGTACCTGACAGTTACCATTTGACATAGAGAAGCTTAGTAAAACTACTTGACAGTTACCATTGACCGAGAGAAGCTTAGCAAAATTACCTGACAGTTACCATTGACAGAGAAAAGCTTAGTAAAATTACCTGACAGTTACCATTGACATAGAGAAGCTTAGTAAGATTACCTGACAGTTACCATTGACATAGAGAAGCTTAGTAAAACTATCTGACAGTTATTTTGACAGAGAGAAGCTTAGTAAAATTATAGACAGTTACCATTGACAGAGAAAAGCTCAGTAAAACTACCTGACAGTAATATGTACAGAGAGAAGCTTAATAAAATTACCTGACAGTAAGCAATGACAGAGAGAAGCTTAGTAAAACTATCTGACAGTTATATTGACAGAGAAAAGCATAGTAAA